CTTCTTATTTAAAATGCGGTCTTTATAGTACTTTATATTATGTTAATATCCCGTTTCTTTAAAATGCTGCAGCAAAAAGATTTCATGTGAAGTACACACATAGATTAGCATGTCCTGTATAAGATCTGACCATTGTTTTTATCTACTTATTTGAAATGGGGTTTTTATACAACTTTGTTATGTTAATACCTCATTTCTCCAAAACAGTGCAGTAAGAATGTTTCATGTGATGTACACACATAATATGGAATGTCTTGTACAAAAACTGACCATTGTTTTTTTCTACTTATTTGAAATGGGGTCTTTATAGCACTTTATATTATGTTAATACCCCATTTCTCTAAAATGCTGCAGTAAATAGGTTTCATGTGAAGTACAGATATAGTATGGGATGTCGTGTATAATAACTGACCATTGTTTTTTTCTACTTATTTAAATTGGGGTCTTTATAACACTTTGAAATATAATATTATACAATTTCTCCAAAACACTGCAGTAATAAGGTTTCATGTGAAGTCCACAGATAGTATGGGAGAACTGACCATTGTTTTTTTCTACTTATTTAAAATGCGGTCTTTATAGTATTTTATATTATGTTAATACCCCGTCTCTTTAAAATGCTGCAGTAAAAAGGTTTCATGTGAAGTACATATATAGTATGGGATGTCCTGTATAAGAACTGACAATTGTTTTTTTCTACTTATTTAAAATGCGGTCTTTATAGTATTTTATATTATGTTAATACCCCGTCTCTTTAAAATGCTGCAGTAAAAAGGTTTCATGTGAAGTACATATATAGTATGGGATGTCCTGTATAAGAACTGATAATTGTTTTTTTCTACTTATTTAAATTGGGGTCTTTATAACACTTTGAAATATAATAATATACAATTTCTCCAAAACACTGTAGTAATAAGGTTTCATGTGAAGTTCACACATAGTATGGGATGTCCTGTGTAAGAACTGACCATTGTTTTTTTCTACTTATTAAAAATGGGGTCTTTATAGTATTTTATATTATGTTAATACCCTGTCTCTTTAAAATGCTGCAGTAAAAAGGTTTCATGTGAAGTACATATATAGTATGGGATGTCCTGTATAAGAACTGACTATTGCTTTTTTCTACTTATTAGAAATGGGGTCTTTATAGCACTTTATATTATGTTAATACCCCATGTCTGAAAAATGCTGCAGTAAAAAGGTTTCATGTGAAGTACACATAGAGTATGGGATGTCCTATATAAGAACTGACCATTGTTTTTTTCTACTTATTAGAAATAGGGTCCTTATAACACTTTAAATCATATTAATACCCCATTTCTCCAAAACAGTGCAGTAAGAAGGTTTAATGTGAAGTACACACATAGTATGAAATGTCCTGTATAAGAACTGACCATTGTTTTTTCTACTTATTTAAAATAAACTTTTTATAGTACTTTATATTATGTTAATACCCCGTTTCTTTAAAATGCTGCAGTAAAAAGCTTTTATGTGAAGTAAACACATAGATTAGGATGTCCTGTATAAGATCTGACCATTGTTTTTTTCTACTTATTTGAAAGGGGATATTTATAGTACTTTTTCTATGTAATAACCTGTTTCTCCAAAGTGCTGCAGTAAAAAGGTTTTATGTGAAGTACACATATAGTCTGTGATGTCCTGTATAACAACTGACAATTGTGTTTTCTACTTATTTGAAATGGGGTTTTTATATCACTTTATATTATGATGTTAATACCCCGCTTTCCCAAAATGCTGCAGTAAGAAGTTTTCATGTGAAGTACACATATAGTATGGGATGTCCTGTATAACAACTGACAATTGTGTTTTCTACTTATTTGAAATGGGGTTTTTATATCACTTTATATTATGATGTTAATACCCCGCTTTCCCAAAATGCTGCAGTAAGAAGTTTTCATGTGAAGTACACATATAGTATGGGATGTCCTGTATAACAACTGACAATTGTTTTTTTCCTTCTTATTTAAAATGCGGTCTTTATAGTACTTTATATTATGTTAATATCCCGTTTCTTTAAAATGCTGCAGTAAAAAGGTTTCATGTGAAGTACACACATAGATTAGCATGTCCTGTATAAGATCTGACCATTGTTTTTTTCTACTTATTTGAAATGGGGTTTTTATACGACTTTGTTATGTTAATACCTCATTTCTCCAAAACAGTGCAGTAAGAATGTTTCATGTGATGTACACACATAATATGGAATGTCTTGTACAAAAACTGACCATTGTTTTTTTCTACTTATTTGAAATGGGGTCTTTATAGCACTTTATATTATGTTAATACCCCATTTCTCTAAAATGCTGCAGTAAATAGGTTTCATGTGAAGTAGAGATATAGTATGGGATGTCGTGTATAATAACTGACCATTGTTTTTTCTACTTATTTAAATTGGGGTCTTCATAACACTTTGAAATATAATATTATACAATTTCTCCAAAACGTTGCAGTAATAAGGTTTCATGTGAAGTCCACAGATAGTATGGGAGAACTGACCATTGTTTTTTTCTACTTATTTAAAATGCGGTCTTTATAGTATTTTATATTATGTTAATACCCCGTCTCTTTAAAATGCTGCAGTAAAAAGGTTTCATGTGAAGTACATATATAGTATGGGATGTCCTGTGTAAGAACTGACCATTGTTTTTTTCTACTTATTTAAAATGCGGTCTTTATAGTATTTTATATTATGTTAATACCCCATCTCTTTAAAATGCTGCAGTAAAAAGGTTTCATGTGAAGTACGTATATAGTATGGGATGTCATGTATAAGAACTGACCATTGTTTTTTTCTACTTATTTAAATTGGGGTCTTTATAACACTTTGAAATATAATAATATACAATTTCTCCAAAACACTGCAGTAAAAAGGTTTCATGTGATGTTCACACATAGTATGGGATGTCCTATATAAGAACTGACCATTGTTATTTTCTACTTATTAGAAATAGGGTCCTTATAACACTTTAAATCATATTAATACCCCATTTCTCCAAAACAGTGCAGTAAGAAGGTTTAATGTGAAGTACACACATAGCATGAAATGTCCTGTATAAGAACTGACCATTGTTTTTTTCTACTTATTTAAAATAAACTCTTTATAGTACTTTATATTATGTTAATACCCCGTTTCTTTAAAATGCTGCAGTAAAAAGCTTTTATGTGAAGTACACACATAGATTAGGATGTCTTGTATAAGATCTGACCATTGTTTTTTTTCTACTTATTTGAAAGGGGGTATTTATAGTACTTTTTCTATGTAATACCCTGTTTCTCTAAAATGCTGCAGTAAAAAGGTTTCATGTGAAGTACACATGTAGTCTGGGATGTCCTGTATAACAACTGACAATTGTTTTTTCTACTTATTGGAAATGGGGTCTTTATAGCACTTTATATTATGTTAATACCCCATTTCTCTAAAATGCTGCAGTAAATAGGTTTCATGTGAAGTACAGATATAGTATAGGATGTCGTGTATAATAACTGACCATTGTTTTTTTCTACTTATTTAAATTGGGGTCTTTATAACACTTTGAAATATAATATTATACAATTTCTCCAAAACACTGCAGTAATAACGTTTCATGTGAAGTCCACAGATAGTATGGGATGTCCTGTGTAAGAACTGACCATTGTTTTTTTCTACTTATTTAAAATGCGGTCTTTATAGTATTTTATATTATGTTTATACCCCGTCTCTTTAAAATGCTGCAGTAAAAAGGTTTCATGTGAAGTACATATATAGTATGGGATGTCCTGTGTAAGAACTGACCATTGTTTTTTCCTACTTATTTGAAATGTAGTCTTTATAGCACTTTTTATTAGGTTATTACCCCGTTTCTCCAAAACAGTGCAGTAAAAAGATTTCATATGAAGTACACATATGGCATGGGATGTTCTGTACAGGAAGGTTTTTGTCTACTTATTGGAAATTGGGTCTTTATAACACTGAGTAATGTTAATACCCAATTTCTCCAAAACACTGCAGTAACAAGTCTTTATTTGAAGTTTAGAAAAGTGATGTCCTGTATCAGACCTGACTATTGTTTTTTTCTACATATTTTAAATGAGCATTTTTTGTCCAAATTGCTGAAGTAAAAAGTATTCAGATGTAGTATATATGCATATAGCATGGGACATCAAGTATCAAACCAGATCAGTCTTTTATTTAACTTATGTCAAACAATGTATTTATAGCACTTTAAAGACTTTATAGCTCAATAATAGCACATTTCTCCAAAATGCTGCAGTAAGTTATTATGAGGTATGCATATAATATTGGATGTCCTGTCCATTGTTTTCTTCTGCTCACCTAAATGAGGTCTTTTACATGAGGTATGCATGTAAATCCTGTATCAGAACCAAACTTTGTTTTTTTTCTACTTATTTCTTTATAGCTCTTTAAAGTGTGTTAATGGTACATTTCTCCAAAATGCTGCTGTAAAACAGGCTTCATATGATGTATGCTTAGTATTTGACTTCCTGCATCTGATCTTATTGTTGTTCTATTCTACTTATAACAAATAATAAGGTCTGTACAGTCATCTAAAGTGTAATAATGCCCCATATCCCATATACTGAAAGAAGCATAACCTTTTAAATCCCCTTTAAATGAAATAAACATATATTTGTAATTCAAACAATGTTTTGTTGGACTACTTTATGATTGTTTTCACTTTCTGAGGTTAGCCACGTTGTATAAACTTGCATTTAACCTTATTTGCAATGTACTGTAGTTGGCTAGGAGAAGTAGAAACGCATTCTGTGTATTTAGAAATCGTATATTTATTCTGTCCGTTTGATCTGCTATAAAATCATTTGAAGCAAAAAGATAAACTTGAGGAAATTAAAGGTAAGCCCAGAAACCAATTTCTTAAAATAACAACAGTCAAAAAAAGCTAATAAATTGTTTAATAAAGCATACGTGGGAGGAAAGGGGGATAAACTTATATTTCGTTGTAATCTCTCTGTTCAGGGCGAAATGGGTGCTCTCTGGAGCGCTCTCTGTGTGGCTGCTGACATTACCGTAATGATAATAATACGCGCGCACCGAAATATAAAGCGCGGCTGGCTTGACTGTGTTTTTCCGAACCGCGGCTGGCTTGACCGCAGTATAAATGCGGCTCTTTTGCTCCGGGTCTCCGCTACGTCACCTCAATGGAGCCGTCACAAACACCCCAAACAGCGTTCCTGTTCTGAAAACAGTTACGAACTGTTTTATGTAAGTAACGTTACTAGAAAAGACATGAAGTGCGTTTATATGCTATTCGAATGACTGCGTGATGGATTACTAAATGTTTTGTTCATTTGCTGCGACTGTCTGAACGTAAACAAACGATGCTTCGGTCTCGTGAATGTTGTTGACATAATTGTCATAAATCTGCAGCAAGTTTTAACTAATTTTACCGCTAACATTTGTGATCAGCTTTACTTTTTAGTTTGAAGTCTAAAGGGATTTGTTGATGTTACATACACAAAGTTCAAACCTGTTGGGGGATAAAGAAAAGCATAGGTTTTTAATGGATAGCCTAAATGGGAATTGTAATGTTTTGAAGACACTGATTGCTCTTAGTCATTTTCTGCCATTAATGTGTGACATGTTAAAACCATAAAATCAGAATAAAAAGCCTTCAAAATGTATTGGTTTTAAAGGTACAAATGTGATTGTTTATAATGGTAACATTGTGTACATGATTATTTCTAGTGTTCTCAGCAACCCTGTTTGAAATTGTAGAACCTATATAATTGTGTTTAATTGTATTGAATTTAATTGTATTGAGTCAACTACATCTGCTACGTTCATAACTGACCTGTCTGAACAAAATTATCATAAACCCCATCAGAACAGATACATATGCTGAAAACACATGTAACTAATACATTTGATCCGAATCATATTATGTAACTTGTCATGTTAAAAGCCGCCTTACAACGCATCGCTGAGTGATGCAATCTCAGCTTGCATCATAAAGGCTGCATCCAGATACTACTGGGAAAATGGGGCTACTGATCAAAATTTGCCAACTGATGGTACACATTTACATATATGATTATTGTAAACTGTCTCTTTTGAAAAGTGTAACTTTGATATTTATATAAAACAAAGTGTTCTAAGGTTTTTGTACTGTTCTTCAATCATTCATGAAACATGGACTGAGTAGTGACCTTGGAATTTAGGAAATTGTATGTTGTTTTCCAATTTTTAACTGCTGTATAATAAAAATGACTGCATTTACATTAATAGAGAAAACCAATAAGACTTTATATATGGAAGCTGATAACTAATATATATATTTATACTTCCCTTTGTGACATCCTAAACCCTCTTCATTGCAGTGTGGATTATTGTCTATTGCCATCGCAATTTCACTTTATTATAACTTTTTTATCCTGCTCACTCCTGAAGGAAATTCCTAATTCAGACCTGTACAAATGGAGAAGCAGGTTGTAGATGGATTAAGGGAGGTCTTCCAGTCAGGCAGATCCAGACCCCTGCAGTACAGAAAACAGCAGCTTAGAGCTCTGCTCCGGCTCATCACTGAACGCCATGCAGACATTGAACAAGCTCTAAAGCAAGACCTTAACAGGGTACGGAAGAGATATTGACTTATCCAATTTTCACTAAAATGACACAAATGCAAGTTTTTAATCCTTGTTTTGAATTTGCAAACAGAGTATGCATGGCACTTCACTCTTTGAGTTGATCGGCATTGAGAATGACATCAAGGTGGCAGAGCGTGAGATGACAGAGTGGGCAGCTCCTCGGCCTGTGAAGAAGAATCTCAACTCCGCACTTGATGATGTTTACGTAAAGCCTGAACCTTTAGGTGTTGTGTTGATTATTGGAACCTGGAACTATCCTTGGGCCATGATCTTTCAGCCCCTTGTTGGAGCTATTGCAGCTGGTAATGGAATTCTTTTTAAAATGCACATAAGAGAAGAATTCAATCTATATGAAAAGCTTTTTCAAACAAATAGGGTTGTAAATTGCACTTAATTTAGGCATGTTAATAGACATGGGCAAATCATTCCAGAGTGTAGGAGCAGCTATACTGTATAGAAAGGGCACAGTCCCATCTGGTCCTATCTGACACAGTTCCATTTGACTAAGCGCTCATCTAATCCATCTGAATTTCTTTTCGGTAGCAGATAAACCTGGGTGTCACCCACATAACAAAGGATTTGCAACACATGTAAAGTCACAAGTTATAAAATGTCATTTAATGGAGTTCTTGTTTGCTGTGATGGTGTAGACAGGAGTTTGGTCTCGCTCTCGCATCTATTCATTTTAGAACTGCTTTAAAATGTAATTTAAGACAGTCCAACAGTTAATTTACAAACAACACAATTTAGACAGGATTTGATTATATATTTTGGGATTTTTTTGGTAAATAAAAGACTGATAAATTAATGATAGCAGATTTTTTTAAAAAAAGTTCAACAAATTTCAAACTATAGATTTAAAATCTATTTATATGGAGTGCAGGTAGGTGAAGTAGAGAAAACCTGCATTAGATCAGCCGCCAAAAACTGCTCTAAAATTCCTTTTGATAATAAAAATTGCTTGTGGGGAAAATTTAGTTTAAACAAACACTGTGTATGAGTACATTTCAAAATAATTCAAAGTGGAACCTGGAGTTTAGGTGAAACACCTGAAACTTTGTTGGATGAATCCATTTCAAAAGAGTTGCCTGAACAAATATAGATTTACAGAGGACTTTAGAAGCATTTGTTTATTCTGCCCTATTAATACCTGATATGAGCAGAATCCTGAAACATCTCTGACCAACATGTTATACAAGTTTACTAGCACATGACTTGAATGTATGTATTTTGGTTCATTTAGAAATGTCAGTTCCCAAATAGCAAACCAATGTGTTACATACCGAAGAAAGATTAGCTAAATCTGATGTCTCAGTTTTGATTTCTTGTTGATTTTAACCTCTTGTAGCTCATTAAGAAGCACCACCAGCACCAATTGATCTCTTAACACAACTCTGTTTTTCACTTCCTCTTGTTGATTAGGAAATGCGGCTGTGGTGAAGCCATCAGAGCTGAGTGAGCACTCTTCTAGACTAATGAAAGAGCTGCTTCCTCTCTATCTGGATAAGGTGCATAGATTTGTTTTTATAATTCAGTCTAATGCTGCTTGTACTATGAGACAGCTTGGATGAATGTTTGAATCATTTTAGGAGATGTATCAGGTGGTGACAGGAGGGGTTCCAGAGACCCAGGAGCTGCTGAAGCAGCGTTTTGACCACATCTTCTACACTGGAAGCAGCACAGTGGGCAAACTGGTTATGGAAGCAGCTTCTCGTCACCTCACACCAGTCACTTTAGAACTGGGTGGAAAAAGCCCCTGTTATATTGACAAGAACTGTGACATTGCTGTGGCGTGCCGGTAGTGTACAGGTTTTTTGTTAAAGCTATAGTGAAATCAAAAATGAAAAGTCTGTCATCATTCATTCCTCTGTGTTATTTATGTTCCTGTAATGCAGGTCAAAGGGGTCTAGATATATTTTGGGCCATACTAACTTGCAGTAAATGGAAAAAAAATTGATGATGAGTAAATGATTACAGAATTCTCATTTTGATCTCTTTAGATATATATAAATTGTTGAGAAACATAATCATTTGGAAACTTTCCAAATGTTCACCTTTTATATCAGACGAATAACCTGGGGAAAGTTTGCAAACTGTGGCCAGACATGCATTGCCCCTGACTACATTCTGTGTGAGCCAAGCATCCAGGACAGGATAGTTGAAGAAATTCAGAAGACACTTCTGGTGTGTAATTGTTTTATATTTAATTGTAATCCATTCTCAATTCTGGTTGTTAAGTGTGACTTAAAATCTCAACCGATTTCAGGAGTTCTACCAGACGGACCCTAAAAGCTCTCCAGATTATTGCAGAATCATTAACACACGTCACTTTGACAGAGTATTGGCTCTGATGAATGAATGCACCATTGCTTTGGGAGGAGAAAATGATCGCTCACAGTGTTACATAGGTAAAGGCAACTTTTGTTGGCACTGATAAAAAATGTTTCATTGGGTGAGTTTGGTAAACAAGCTGCTTATTTATATATCTCTCACTAGCTCCTACAGTCCTGAAAGATGTTTTGCCCCATTTCAAAATCATGCAAGAAGAAATCTTTGGACCCCTGCTGCCCATTGTCACTGTTAATGGCTTGAGTGAGGCCATAAATTTTATCAATGCTAGAGAAAAGCCTTTGGCTCTCTATATTTTCTCCTCTGATAAAACGGTATTGTTTCTTTTTGCAATGTTTTTAGATAGTAGAAAAGAACATTTTAGGTCAATTTCAATAAGTCAACCATTTGTTTCATTTAGGTGATAAAGAGAATGTTAAAGGAAACCACCAGTGGAGGAGTGACTGTTAATGATGTCCTTATGCATTACACTGTTGATACTTTACCTTTTGGAGGCGTGGGTAAGTCGGACAACAAGCAACCGTTTAATAAATCTTAAATGTATGCATACACATATATAGTTGAAGTCAGAATTATTAGCCCCCCCTGAATTATTAGACCCCGTTTATTTTTTTCCCCAATTTCTGTTAGAATTAGAATGTAGAATTTCTAAACGCATTTCTAAACATAATAGTTTTAATAACTCATCTCTAATAACTGATTTATTTTATCTTTGCCATGATGACTGTAAATAATATTTTGCTAGATATTTTTCAAGACACTTCAATACAGCTTAAAGTGATATTTAAAGGTTAACTAGATTAATTATGTTAACTAGGCAGGTTAGGATAATTAGGCAAGCTATTGTATAATGATGGCTTGTTCTCTAGACTATTTAAAAAAGATATAGCTTAAAGAGGCTTATAGTTTTGTCCTTAATTTTTTTCTTATTTAAAACTGCTTTTATTTTAACCAAAATAAAACAAATAAGACTTTCACCAGAAGAAAAAAAAAATTATCAGACACACTGTGAAAATGTTCTTACTCTGTCAAACATCATTTGGGAAATATTTAAAAAAGGAAAATAATTCAAAGGATTTATTACCAAAAATATTTAACTTCTTAACACTGTGCACATGTATTTGCACTAACTGCATTTTGCCAAGTGTAAAGTTTAGTGAAGGCGGATTATGTATAGTGTAGGGGTTTTCAGGGGTTGGGCCTGGCTCCTTAATTTAAAGTGAAAGGAACTCTTAATGCTCCAGTGTACCGAGACGTTTGGACAATTTCATGCTTTGACTTTAGGAAGATTGGGATTCCTGTTCATTCTTGCACATCAGTGTACAAAGCAGGGTCTGCAATAACATGGGTGTGCAAAATTTGGTGTGGAAAAACTTTACTGGCCTCCACAGTCCTGACCTTAACCCAACTGAATATATTTGGGATGAATTAAAGTGGAGACTACAAGCAAGGCCTTCTTGTCCAAAATTAGTGACCGACCTCACAAATGTTCTTTTAGAAGAATGCTCAAAATTCTTATAAACACATTGTGTAAAGCCTTTTCAGAAGAACTGAAGCTGTTAAGAATTGAGGGGTAGACCAACTCCATATTAAACACCAAGGATTAGGATTTGGGATGTCAATAAAGTTTATGTGCATATAAAGCTAAATGTTCCAAAACCTTTTTCTCTTAAGAGTATATTAAACTGTCAAAAAATTCTGTAAAAATATATATAAAAAAAAATTGTATTTGCATTGTAATAAAGTTTATAAGAATGTAATGTTTTAATGGGAAATCATGATATGCATACACTAAATATTGTATTAATTGCTAAATAATAGTAAAGGTGAATTTATTTAGTATTTTAAACTCTTAAATCATCCACAGAAACAAACAGAATTATACAGATATGAATGTTTCTCCTAATACTCTTTTGCTCTTTCTCTGCAAGGAAACAGTGGAATGGGCAGATATCATGGGAAACACACGTTTGACCAGCTGAGCCACCATCGTGCCTGCCTCATCAAGTCTTTTGCTATGGAGAGTTTGAACGATGCCCGTTACCCTCCACTAACAACAGCCCGTCTGCGCAAGGCCAAGTTTTTTATGGGGCATCGCATGTGTAGCTGTAATGGCATGTGTGTTTGGGCTGTCATCGCCACCGTACTTGCAATTGGCCTGCTTGTTGGACTATTAGTTGTGCTGATATAGGTAAAGGATTTTATTGTATTTACTATCACATTGTAGAAATAGTTTCAAGGGTTGATTTTGTGTTTGCACTATGCTCACATTTTATTACAGTCTCAGGAGGATGGCAAACCCTAGAGCATTTTAGGGAAGAAAGTCTGAACATTGACTCGCCCTCAGGCAATCTAATGTTGTTGATGTTTTTCTTCATTGAATATTTTTTGATGAAACAGTGCTCCTGAGTGATTCATAAAATCAACTGCTATTGCCGTTGTTATTATTATTATTATTTTTACTTTTAAAGAGCTCAGCTGTTGACCTGACTTTTCTGAATAGCCAAGGATCTGTTTTAGCTGAAATCTTCATCAATTTTGTAAAGGCACTATACAGTATTTTTGGGTACAGTAACATGAAGTTTTTATATTTGTGTGAGTTATTTCTTTAAGATAAATTTATGTTCCTATACTGTAAAACGCGATTAGTACAATTAACGCAAAACTGTTTGAGGTAACCGATTGCAGCAAACCATTTAAGTTTTGAAACAATATGGTTTGAGTACTGTAAACTATATGACTATGACAATATATAGAGTCATATACACACTTTACATTTACGTTACATTTGAGTTAATAATCTGTGTTGAGTATTAACAACTTAAACATTTTAAGTTCAGTTATCAAATTGCTATAAGTTCAAAAAATTAAGTCCAAACAACTATATGCTCAGATGGTTTGGTATTGCTCCTAGTTTTAGAGTTATGTTGACACAAAAATATAATTATGTCATTCATAACTCATTCGTAGGGCCAAACAGAATCTGCAGAATATTTTTTGCTATTTCTGTGGAGAATTTTGTTAAAAATCTGCGCATTTATGCTAAATGATTTTGAGACTATCATAGCTAAAAAATGTATATATGAAGTAAGTAAAAAAACATTTTCAATTTTCATTTATTGTTAACAATGCAAATCCAATCAGATCCACTTTATTTGGTAAACATAGCAAGTCTCTTATAATATATCTACTTAAAGACTGAAAATATTACTTTACAAACTGTATTGTGAATGAATCATGTCAACATTGTCATGTTTGTCAATATAAAAATGAAATTATTTTAAATCAGAAAAAATATACATGTACACATTTATTCAAGTAAATAAACAGAGTCAATGATGGGCTAAAAATCTGCGGAAGTCTACGCGCACCGATTCCGTGTTGGCCTACCCATTCGTTTTGAGTTCTGCTTAAAATAATCCATTTATATGTTTCGTAAAGTAACATTTAAAAAAAAGTATAAGTTTAACTTATTTAAGCCTTTGATGCACAAGCTATAAAATAGAAATAGAAAAAATAAACTTAGAGGGATCACTTTAGACCCAAGTAGTGCATCAAAGGGTTAATTTAGTAAATTGTGACTCTTAGGTTTTACAGAAAACAAAGAACATCATCAGAGTACTAACAATGGTATGGCTATACTAGATTGAATTATTTTTATTTAGTTTTGTTATTTCATATTTATGCATTTTATAAATACAGTAATGGTTTTCCAGTTTGTTGAGGAAAGCCATGTGATTGAACTGTCACGGTTTGTCTGTTTGGTTAATGAGTATTTCTCAAAAGGCCACTGTTTGGATCAAGCTTTGTTTAATAACTGAAATTTCCCATTGCTCTAACAACGAATGATTGTTCATAATCAGTGTTCCTTCACTTCTACAGCAGACTCCTATCTGAAGCAACAGATCTACTGGATACACTGTTGTTCTTTATATTTGCTGCTGTCTTTTGATATGATATAGTATTTTTGGATCATATATTTGTATAAATATTGAGTATTTAGATCGTTCTTATGATCCATCTGTAAGAGCTTATGCGTTTAAACCACTAGATGATAAAACTGCAGCACACATTTATAATAAATTATTGCTTGTTGGTGTAGACGCTAATTTACTGTAGCTATGGTTATGTATGACTATCTCATATGTATAGATATAGATATAGTTATCATTCTTAGTGACATTTTTAATTAGCATAAAACTAAATTTATTATTTAAAAATATAGATCACTAATACTTATTTATGCACTGTTTTTTGCTCATGTAGAGAATTTGAGAGGAACTACTGAACTGTGCAGAATCTGCAGATTTGGTTGTTTAAATGGACAAGTTAGCATTATATGTGGTATGTAGCAGTACAATGCTGGCATTGTTCTCTGTTGCTCCTATTGTTCTCCAGCTTATCCTCTTTATATGGTGGACTTTTTAGAAAGCTTAAGCTCAGGAGCTTGCAAATTCTTGCTACTTTAAAATAATGCTAGTACAGACAAGAATGTTTTTGTATCTTAACAGTGTTAATCAAAGCTAATCAGTGATGTTTTTAGTGGAATAAATCTACTAGGTTTTAAGGCAAAAATGCCAATGTAACTTGAACTTAAATGTGATTTTTAGGCTTAAAATGATATTTCTTATTTTTCATTTTTAATGTAATAAAGAGTCTGTCCAATTATTTACAATATACTCTATTAGAGTATTTGATGTTTTTTTTATATCTTGTGAGTATTTTATTAAATACAGTACGTGTTAATGTTAATCATACTGACTTGTGCTAGATTTCAGAGAATTTTTATTCAGAGAATGTTTTGATACTTTAAAGCCTTTTTCCTTGATACATCTACAATGCTGTAGTGTACAGCCCTCAGTATTCAGCAGATGGCGCTCTCTTACAATTTTACATCTCACAAAATCTGTCTGTTCCTTCCAATGACTTTAAAATAGGCTCCTTCATGTTAAAATTCAATTAAAACAAATCTACAAATCAAAGCCTTTTCAAGTAGTCTTATTGTTGATTGCTGCTACTCCACGCGCTTCCTTTTTAAATAATGTATATTCTTAGTTGAGGCCAATTGTAAAACACTTCTCAGACAGTAAATTGAATAACAATCTCCATTTAAAAAGCTGTGTTGAACAAACTTAATTTGACCGTTGTGCAAGTGCGAAAGCGTTTTGTTGTTTCCCAGTAGCCTGGAAGGGCATGCGTTAAACATAAGTTGGCGGTCCATTCCGTTTTGGCGACACCTGCTTTAACAATTTGCCTTAAATTTAAACATTGATTCAAACCTATGTTCCTCGAGTTTGGTTAGACATTCCTCAGGAATGTGTCTGTCAAAACAACAGCATACTGTACATTCCACAATGTGTCCATATTTTTACATTTGCTGTTATACAATCTGTCAATTACAGCTAGTAAATATTTTTATGACACAGCCGAGAGCAACATCTGTCAAGATTCAATACTGAGTACAGATAAACAGGATGCTAAGGAATTGTACAAAATTGTTGGTATTTTTTCAGAAATCAAATGTGTTATTGCTGTTTAGAAATGTGAAGATTAACAAAATAACGCATAATTGATAGTGAGATATATATTTACAGTGAAGGATTTCACGCATGCCTGAGGAGGTATTCACTGACAGATGTTTGATTGTAGGAGATCATCAAATCATCGCTGCTAGTATGCATTCCTACATGACGGTTCCAATAGTGAGTTTTGGGAAATTTCAAATGGGAGTCAGTACTGCAGTGCACATGCTGATGAACTTGAAGTGAACTCGGGTCAACTACTGCGGTCAAGCCAGCCGCGGTTCGGAAAAACACAGTCAAGCCAGCCGCGCTTTATATTTCGGTGCGCGCGTATTATTATCATTACGGTAATGTCAGCAGCCACACAGAGAGCGCTCCAGAGAGCACCCATTTCGCCCTGAACAGAGAGATTACAACGAAATATAAGTTTATCCCCCTTTCCTCCCACGTATGCTTTATTAAACAATTTATTAGCTTTTTTTGACTGTTGTTATTTTAAGAAATTGGTTTCTGGGCTTACCTTTAATTTCCTCAAGTTTATCTTTTTGCTTCAAATGATTTTATAGCAGATCAAACGGACAGAATAAATATACGATTTCTAAATACACAGAATGCGTTTCTACTTCTCCTAGCCAACTACAGTACATTGCAAATAAGGTTAAATGCAAGTTTATACAACGTGGCTAACCTCAGAAAGTGAAAACAATCATAAAGTAGTCCAACAAAACATTGTTTGAATTACAAATATATGTTTATTTCATTTAAAGGGGATTTAAAAGGTTATGCTTCTTTCAGTATATGGGATATGGGGCATTATTACACTTTAGATGACTGTACAGACCTTATTATTTGTTATAAGTAGAATAGAACAACAATAAGATCAGATGCAGGAAGTCAAATACTAAGCATACATCATATGAAGCCTGTTTTACAGCAGCATTTTGGAGAAATGTACCATTAACACACTTTAAAGAGCTATAAAGAAATAAGTAGAAAAAAAACAAAGTTTGGTTCTGATACAGGATTTACATGCATACCTCATGTAAAAGACCTCATTTAGGTGAGCAGAAGAAAACAATGGACAGGACATCCAATATTATATGCATACCTCATAATAACTTACTGCAGCATTTTGGAGAAATGTGCTATTATTGAGCTATAAAGTCTTTAAAGTGCTATAAATACATTGTTTGACATAAGTTAAATAAAAGACTGATCTGGTTTGATACTTGATGTCCCATGCTATATGCATATATACTACATCTGAATACTTTTTACTTCAGCAATTTGGACAAAAAATGCTCATTTAAAATATGTAGAAAAAAACAATAGTCAGGTCTGATACAGGACATCACTTTTCTAAACTTCAAATAAAGACTTGTTACTGCAGTGTTTTGGAGAAATTGGGTATTAACATTACTCAGTGTTATAAAGACCCAATTTCCAATAAGTAGACAAAAACCTTCCTGTACAGAACATCCCATGCCATATGTGTACTTCATATGAAATCTTTTTACTGCACTGTTTTGGAGAAACGGGGTAATAACCTAATAAAAAGTGCTATAAAGACTACATTTCAAATAAGTAGGAAAAAACAATGGTCAGTTCTTACACAGGACATCCCATACTATATATGTACTTCACATGAAACCTTTTTACTGCAGCATTTTAAAGAGACGGGGTATAAACATAATATAAAATACTATAAAGACCGCATTTTAAATAAGTAGAAAAAAACAATGGTCAGTTCTTACACAGGACATCCCATACTATCTGTGGACTTCACATGAAACGTTATTACTGCAGTGTTTTGGAGAAATTGTATAATATTATATTTCAAAGTGTTATAAAGACCCCAATTTAAATAAGTAGAAAAAAACAATGGTCAGTTATTATACACGACATCCTATACTATATCTGTACTTCACATGAAACCTATTTACTGCAGCATTTTAGAGAAATGGGGTATTAACATAATATAAAGTGCTATAAAGACCCCATTTCCAATAAGTAGAAAAAACAATTGTCAGTTGTTATACAGGACATCCCAGACTACATGTGTACTTCACATGAAACCTTTTTACTGCAGCATTTTAGAGAAACAGGGTATTACATAGAAAAAGTACTATAAATACCCTTTCAAATAAGTAGAAAAAAAACAATGGTCAGATCTTATACAAGACATCCTAATCTATGTGTGTACTTCACATAAAAGCTTTTTACTGCAGCATTTTAAAGAAACGGGGTATTAACATAATATAAAGTACTATAAAGAGTTTATTTTAAATAAGTAGAAAAAAACAATGGTCAGTTCTTATACAGGACATTTCATGCTATGTGTGTACTTCACATTAAACCTTCTTACTGCACTGTTTTGGAGAAATGGGGTATTAATATGATTTAAAGTGTTATAAGGACCCTATTTCTAATAAGTAGAAAATAACAATGGTCAGTTCTTATATAGGACATCCCATACTATGTGTGAACATCACATGAAACCTTTTTACTGCAGTGTTTTGGAGAAATTGTATATTATTATATTTCAAAGTGTTATAAAGACCCCAATTTAAATAAGTAGAAAAAAACAATGGTCAGTTCTTATACATGACATCCCATACTATATACGTACTTCACATGAAACCTTTTTACTGCAGCATTTTAAAGAGATGGGGTATTAACATAATATAAAATACTATAAAGACCGCATTTTAAATAAGTAGAAAAAAACAATGGTCAGTTCTTACACAGGACATCCCATACTATATATGTACTTCACATGAAACCTTTTTACTGCAGCATTTTAAAGAGACGGGGTATTAACATAATATAAAATACTATAAAGACCGCATTTTAAATAAGTAGAAAAAAACAATGGTCAGTTCTCCCATACTATCTGTGGACTTCACATGAAACCTTATTACTGCAACGTTTTGGAGAAATTGTATAATATTATATTTCAAAGTGTTATGAAGACCCCAATTTAAATAAGTAGAAAAAACAATGGTCAGTTATTATACACGACATCCCATACTATATCTCTACTTCACATGAAACCTATTTACTGCAGCATTTTAGAGAAATGGGGTATTAACATAATATAAAGTGCTATAAAGACCCCATTTCAAATAAGTAGAAAAAAACAATGGTCAGTTTTTGTACAAGACATTCCATATTATGTGTGTACATCACATGAAACATTCTTACTGCACTGTTTTGGAGAAATGAGGTATTAACATAACAAAGTCGTATAAAAACCCCATTTCAAATAAGTAGAAAAAAACAATGGTCAGATCTTATACAGGACATGCTAATCTATGTGTGTACTTCACATGAAACCTTTTTACTGCAGCATTTTAAAGAAACGGGATATTAACATAATATAAAGTACTATAAAGACCGCATTTTAAATAAGAAGGAAAAAAACAATTGTCAGTTGTTATACAGGACATCCCATACTATATGTGTACTTCACATGAAAACTTCTTACTGCAGCATTTTGGGAAAGCGGGGTATTAACATCATAATATAAAGTGATATAAAAACCCCATTTCAAATAAGTAGAAAACACAATTGTCAGTTGTTATACAGGACATCCCATACTATATGTGTACTTCACATGAAAACTTCTTACTGCAGCATTTTGGGAAAGCGGGGTATTAACATCATAATATAAAGTGATATAAAAACCCCATTTCAAATAAGTAGAAAACACAATTGTCAGTTGTTATACAGGACATCACAGACTATATGTGTACTTCACATAAAACCTTTTTACTGCAGCACTTTGGAGAAACAGGTTATTACATAGAAAAAGTACTATAAATATCCCCTTTCAAATAAGTAGAAAAAAACAATGGTCAGATCTTATACAGGACATCCTAATCTATGTGTTTACTTCACATAAAAGCTTTTTACTGCAGCATTTTAAAGAAACGGGGTATTAACATAATATAAAGTACTATAAAAAGTTTATTTTAAATAAGTAGAAAAAACAATGGTCAGTTCTTATACAGGACATTTCATACTATGTGTGTACTTCACATTAAACCTTCTTACTGCACTGTTTTGGAGAAATGGGGTATTAATATGATTTAAAGTGTTATAAGGACCCTATTTCTAATAAGTAGAAAAAAACAATGGTCAG